ATACTGACATAAATGAACATTTGCACGATATTCTAATTTTTCGAGTTTCACCTGTATATTCAACAATCAAGGGGCCAACCAGCAGCATCTACAGGCAAGGTCAAAATCTGCAGGATGGCAGGTGTGGAGTCACAAAGTCCTACCCTTTTGTACTTGCAGATGCCAATGGCCACAGAGGCAACAATGTTGACCCCTCTTTATTCTTATGCATGTTTTACTTCCATCATGTGCTACCTGTATCACATGCAGCAACTAAATTTCAACAGCATATTCATGCAACATTTTCTATAATTCTATTCAATTTAATAAATTAAAATATAGTAAAAACTCTTTTGTACCTGAAAATAAGTATACCTAAAGTACAGTCAGGTACCGTATCTTCTGGCTGCCATTGCTATGGCACAAAATTTGGCCACCATTCTGGAGACTTCCTAATCCTGTTTTTTTTTTTTTTTTTAAGAAGATAGCACACAACAATTGGGTGAAATTAATCTGGGTTGTTTATAGTAAGAGGGAAGATCAAATCTACCCTCCAAGGATGGTAGATAGGAGATTTCATAAGTACATGAGCTGCTGCCTCAGAATCTGAGCACATACCCAAACTCTCTTGGTAAGGAATGCCATTAAACCTTCCTGACAGTACCATTGGTGGGAGAGCATCCAAGCATACCAGTGTAAAAGCCCTCCCATCTAACAGGACAAGTAGGTGATAAAAATAATTAGGTTGGTAAAGGCAGGGTGCGTGAGCTCATTGTAGTAGAAATATAAAGTGTTAATCCTGTCTCTATGTATCAAGGTCAAAGATTCTCTGTTTGAGCTCTCTCTAGGTCAGGCCCGGCACGGATAAGAAATTGGGGGCTACAGCACACCAGACTGGCTGTTATTTATTTCTTCCAAGGACAGCAGTGTCTATCAGTCAATAATAGCTGGTCTAAAGATTCACCCCTGAAGATTTGCTTAAGTCAATACTTTAACTGGCAGAGCTGTAAGTGAGCCTTGACTGAGATGCACCCAAGCTCTAGGCAGAGAAATACACTGGCAACCGAGCAAGGACCTGAATAGGGATCTCAAAAACTTAAAAACCTTAGAAGCATTGCACTTACAAGGATACTGGTGTGTTATTCTAACACACCAGTATCCTTATAAGTGCAACACTGTGCACCATACAGCAAATATCTGGACTTTTAAAAGTCTGATTGCTGTAGGTGCATAGTTGTTGCTCCTATAGGTTGTATAGCTAATTACTGCATTAGAAACCATGCCAAGAGAGTTAATGAGTAGAGTTTCCAGGAAGATGACAACTGGAAGTATGTGCCTAGATATTAAAAAGCCTTCATCTGTTCCATTTGGTAGTTGTCAATTTCCCAAATGTGGGAAGTGATTAGCATTATACCTAGTAAATACAACTGCCCTGGTTTTCACACAGCTATTTTAGATCAACATAAGATGCTAGGAGGTGGAAGCTGGCCTGCAGCCCCACTTGCGATACAGACAGAATAACATTGCCAACATACAGGAGAATGGAAATTGGTTTTCTTGTCAGGGATGAAATTCAGCTCTATTAAGGGCCTGGTCAATATCACTGACATAAAAATTAAATGGGGGGGGGCAGAATACATCCCTGTTTGAATTCTTTAGAGGCTGTAATTAGGTCAAGTGAGGTGCCTTCATGCAATAGCATAATTAATTGGAGAAGCCAGCAATCAACAGAGGAGGTTGCCAGTTTTCAACACAACGTCTTGGAGGAGATTGAATCAAATGCCATTTTCATCATAGAGAGAACCTTTTGGTGGACTGGCATACTTCATAGAAAGGTGGTGAAGGGGAAACACTGATCTACAACTGAGAACCCTAATCTAAACCCAGATTCTTCCTTGACTAACATTTTTTGTTGGATCATCTATCAGGAAGTTTTGGTAGCAATGTTTCACATAATTTACCAATTATGCATAATAAACTGATTGGCAATAATTAGCCAGGCTGGTCTTATCACCGTTTTAATATCTTGGGATTGTTTACGTCTAATTTGCAATCCTCCATCTTCTCTGTCAAACGCAACTAGCTTGGTCTTTCGTACATTACTTTTCAGCTTCGTTACATCATACAGCTTACCTAACATTTGCTACAAATCATCTGGGTTCTCTGCCAAGAGAGCATCATCTGTATACAGAGGTACTCCCCAGCTAACACACCTCAAATGACACCATAAGCATTTCTCATACATTTATCCATAAATACATTAAACAATCAAGGATACAACTAGCAGTGTTCACAGGGTGAGGTCAAAATAGAGCTAGTGTGGTCCAGTGGTGAAGGCTCCAGGCTAGAAAGCAGGAGATGGGGAGTTCTCATCCCGCCTTAGGCATGAAAGGCGGCTGGGCAACTTTGGGCCAGTCCTTCTCTCTCAGCCCAACCCACAGGGGAAAATAGGAGGAGGAAGGAGTATTAGGTATGCTCATCACCTTGAATTATTTACAAAAATAAAGGCAGGATAAAAAAAAAATCTAGAAAAAAAATCTACAAGATGGCAGACACGGAGTCACAATCCAAGCCCCATCCTTTTCTACTTGCAGATATGGATGCGGAGACATCAGTGTTGAAGCCTTCCACTTGTCCTGTATGTACTACTTGTACTCTACGTAGCAACTGACTTTCAACTTCCAAGCCACGCAAAACATTCCATGGTTCAAGCCTATTCAATTCATTATGCACCTTCTCCAAGTCGGAAATCAAACTTTCTTTCTCCATGCTCTGCTGAAAAGCAAAACTCCAGCTTGCAACCCCCTTCCCCAATTCTGCCACCACCTCTCGTACCCTTTTTATCAGGATTCAGCCAGCCACCTTCCCAGACAGGCTCAGACTAATTTCCACACAGCTTTCGCAGCAGCCTAAGCACAAAGGCGCTCTTTGCAAGATTTTAGAAAATAGCCACCGGTGAGATTAGCAACAACGTAGGTCTCCTCCGGCAGAGCCTGCTTTGGATCCCGAGGGGCGCTGGGCTGGCCGGCCAAGGGGGAAGGTCCTCATCTTCCAACGGCAACAGAAGCAGGAGAGCGCTCCGGGGAAGGGCCCAGAGCGCTCTTCCAGCGGGGCGCATCCGCCCCCCGGCAGGGCCTGCCCCCTCCCTGGTCGCAGCTGCAGGCCGGCTGCAAGCAGAGGGCCGCGCAGGGCTGCCGGGCCCGAG